CTCTGCCCATCCCCCGTTGGTCTGTGTGGGGGTGCGGCCTCCCTCCCCCCAGAACTCCCCACGACGCCTGTCGGCTGGCTGGGGAATTCTGGGAGTCGAAGTCCACCCATCTTCAAGCTGCCAAGGTTGAGAAGCACTGATGTACTTAATAGCAGGGTTTTCATCTGTAAGTAGCCGAGAAGTGTAAAAATGATTGATGCCCTTGATTTACTTGTGCAGGAATGAAATCAATGAGATTGTCACGAGCATCTCTGTAAAACAGGCTGTAGAGGAGGATGTACGTTGTAGTTTTGACCTGCCCAGTGGCACGTGGGCACTCTCTCTCTGCCCAGGGGCTTTTCTTACGTCGGCCTTCAAGAACAGCCGAGGGGAGGGCATGGCACCAGGCAAGCCAAACCCTTCTTTGGCTTGGGATTTCCAGTTGTTGCAGATGGGGAAGGGGAGAGACAATATTCCAAAGTCTGTCCAGGCTGAAGAAGTTTGGGGCACTGCGCACATCTGTCTGTCGCTCTGTGTCCATTACCCTTGGATCAACTCCCATCGTCAATGGGGGGGTGTAGAAAAAACCCAGGGCTGAGATCTTCTTACCTTTTTACCTCTTACCTCCCCTCCCTTACCTTACCTCTTTTCCTGCAAAGTCTGAGGGGCATAGAGCTTGTGTAAATCAATAGTTGACCGTGGCCATCCAAACTCTGCCCTCTGCCTTCAGTAATCCCATCTCAAGGCATACAATGATGTTACACGCACATCATGGTACTTGAAGAGCTGCCTGGATCCCCGCAATGCAGGGTAGAGGAGCTGGGCTAAAGTCTCGGCTTCGAATCATTTGTGTCCTGCTCAATTTTATCTGGTTTATTTGCTTTGAGATACTTCTAAATTTTATTCTTGTGTTTGCCTCGCTTTTAATTGTTGTCAGCCACCCAGAGTCATGCATTTGAGATGTGCGGCTATATAAAGTATTTTTTTATAGAGACAGCCAGTGTGGTCTAGTGGTGAAGGCACCCGGCTAGTAAGCAGGAGGCTGTGAGTTCTAGTCCTGCCTTAGATATGCGAAACCGGCCGGGTGACTTTGGGCCAGTCACTCTCTCTCAGCCCAGCCCACCTCACAGGGTTGTTGTTGTGGGGAACATAGGAGGAGGAAGGAGTATTAGGTATGCTCACCACCTTGAGTTATAGATAAAAAAAGGTAGGATAAAAATCTAATAGTAATAATAATAATTTGACGTAAATTAAATAACATGTGTTGGCCACCTCTTGATCTCAAGAACTTGAGAATAGCAGAGGAGCTCCTCGCTGCAGTGACAGATCAATGTGGGCCTTTCTAGAGCCAGAGGCAGGTTGTAATGGATTAATCATTCAACGAAGCCTGGTGCAAGGTGCGAGCAGAATTTAATTTCAATTGGGCAATCTCGTTCTCAATCTGCAATACCTTTAGATGTAGCATCATCAAAGCCCCTGTTTCTAAAGCCCGTCCCCAATAGTAATGCTATGAGGCTACTCTTAAGCAAGTAGCTTGAACTGGCAGATGATTACAAAACCTAGAGTAAAGTTCAGCTAAGATCACTGTCCGCTATTGCAAAACAGGAATTCAACTGGGCAAGCGATTGCATAGATGGATATCGTAATCCTCGGATGAACAAAGCGCCCATCTAGAACGCATGAACAAATATTGGTTCGTCCGTTTCACCCAAGCCAGTCAGGACTCAGTAATATGGTACAAAATGTTCTTAACCTCGAATTAAATTAAAATATCTGCCGTCTTATATACTGATGGTCTTGTGTTAACAGCCAGCTTGCTTCTGTCGCTAACTATCTTGAGACAGGAAGGAAGGAAGGAAGGAAGGAAGGAAGGAAGGAAGGAAGGAAGGAAGGAAGGATTGCAATATAAGCATCGATTGCCAATCTTGTGTCATCAGTGAGTTATCTGACAGTACCTCTATTGCCATGTTATATATTCCTCTGTTTATTCTATATTCCAGCTCTTTGTAGGGCAGTGTTTTTCCAGCTTGGCAACTTTCAGATGTGTGGACTTCGACTCCCAGAATTCCCCAGCCAGCATGCTGGGGAATTCTGGGAGTCGAAGTCCACACATCTGAAAGTTGCCAAGCTGGAAAAACATTGTTGTCGTGTAATCATTATCTGTGGCAACTAGTTCAGATCTTGCTTCAGAAATTAAACTAAAGAGATGACTGCATTTATACGCCAACCGTTAGAAAAAAAATCCTAATTGAAGATAACCTTGAATATCAGCGGCAAGTGAAGCCAGATAGTGGAATGAGTGAGTTGACTCTGGTGCTTTTTCGTCTGCTTCTGGAAACAGACAGACTACAAGGCCTTCTTCTGCGAAGACTTCCACAAAAATATGGTGGATTTAACCAGCGTGACCGACAGATAACCGTCAACACCAGGGATACCCAAAATCAAGAGCAGTCTCACTCATTTGGTCCCTTTGGTGTTGGCTTTCAGCTCCCCTAATTCTCCTATATTGAAACTTGAAGATGAGAAGTCTGGTTTAGATCATTAAAGAGAGAGGATTAACACTCGGTTTTGCTTTTTGACTCTTTCTTCTCGACAGACAGTCCTCCACAATCACCCAGCTGGGCTCATATCGGATCTTGATCCAAAATAAGGCCGACGACACAGAAAGCCTCCATTGCCAGTGGGTTTGAAAAGTATTCAGTAGCAAGTGTTTGGTTTAGCAGAGGCCTTTGAGTGCTATCAGTCCAAAGGCATGATGTCAAAGTTTCATTTTTTCCCCCCTTCCTTTCAGACTTGCTTAGGAAAGAAAGGAAATTTACGGAAAACGTAACAGAAAGAGAGGAGAGAGCGATACCATCTCATCCTCTTCCAGGCAGAGTAACTGTGCAGTTCATCTTGTCTGGAAATCAAGTGTGTAACTTACAAATGTGGTTTACGTATGAACACAAAGCCACAGTGGGATTTGTTCGGCTTTGCATTATGGCTTATTTAAGAAAGCAAGGTTTAGCGTGATTTCTGCCCAGTGCTTAAAGCAACCTCTCGCCGTCCAGTGGCCTCCAGCTATATTGGACTACAACTCCATCACTTGCAACCAACACGTCTACTGGCTGTGTTGCTTTGGACATTCAGAGTTCTGGTCTAGCATGGTTGTAGTTTAAAAGCGTGGATCCCTCTTGAACTTAGCTGTGATTCAGCTGCAGCCTCAGGAAATCAAGTACTAATGTTCTGTTGCTCCTTTATTGCTGACGTTTTGAATGAAACCCTTCCTTACCTTTTGATCTGATCCTCTCCTTGAACCTTTGGTTACCATTTTTCTGTATTGGCATCGTAAGGATGAGAAGCAATTGAAATTCGGTGGTGGTGATACAGGGCTTGGAGTTCTGTGTCAGTGTGGCCTTCGGTATGATATACACCCGTTGTACCAATGCACAGGAGCTGTTAGGGATGGAGGAGGCTGCTGCTTTGATTTATACATACTTTAAAAGAGCCTGTTGGAATATGTAAACCTGGTGTAGAGTCTGAGCATGGTCTGAATATGTCCATTTAGTTCCTCTCTGTGTATGCTGAATTAATTTGCTCAGTCCAGCAGCGTCAATAGAGGATTAAAATCTTTCACTTTTTCCATTCCTATATACACATGATATATATGTATATTGCATGTTTGTGTTACAACCTGAAACATTTTCCTGCAGCTTATCAATGAGCATCTACAGTGAAAGAACGTAACTAAACCCAAGGTTCTACTATTTTACAGAACCCTAAAACCTCAGAAATAGTTAAGCAGCTGATTGCCGCGGGAAACACAGAAGAATTGCTAAAATGTTTTGGCTCACGAATGGAATTTGGGACTGCAGGACTGCGAGCACCTATGGGGGCTGGAACGTCACAGATGAACGACTTGACTATTATTCAGACCTCACAGGTATCAGATTTAGCTGTATGTGCTTATTTAAAGGCAATGCGTTCCTATTTTCCAAGCAATGGCCATAATAAATAGAAAGTTGGGTGTGCAGGTAAGAATTATTTCAGAGTGTCCGGTTTTCTCTGACTTGTACCCGGAGCTTATTTTAATAAAAGAAAAAGGGGAGAGTTATCTTTACTGAGATACAATTAAAATGGTGCTCCCTAAAATTCAAGTTTTATTTAAAAAGCTTATAGTGACTTAATAAGCGTGCCATCAATATTGTTGAAAGTTTTTTAACCCTTTTTTCTGAAAAACCTCTCAGTGCTCGTTCAGAGCAATTAGACTTTGCTGTAGATCCATCTTTCCCTCCCCGTGTATACGTTCTGGTTTCTAAGCTAGCAGGTTGCATCTAGAGGCTAAGTATGAAACGATGTTTTCTTCAAACACTCTGCGATATATAATTTCATTGACTGTGAATTCCTACTTTTGCAAGCCATAACTTCTCCTTCCAATTGTCCATTTAGGGAAGATGTGCCAAAACTGAGACAGCTTAATAGCACGGATAAAGCCGGCTGTTTATTTTGTTTGTAGGGATTCTGCAGGTATCTTGAGAAGAATATCAGTGACCTGAAGAAAAGAGGAGTGGTAATTGGCTATGATGCTCGAGCCCATCCTTCAACTGGTGGTAGCAGCAAAAGGTATCCTTCACAATTCTTGCAGTGCTTGTTCAACAACATGCTTCTTTTCTTGTTTTCAAAGTTGGTAAGCTCCTTCTTTTATTGAATCACAAGGAAATATTTTTTAATCTCAGTACATGCTATCATTATTCTTTGTTTAAAATAACCTGCCTATCCTAAAAGCAATTCCAGATAGCAAGTACAGTTTCCATAAAGTGAAGATCATTAGTGATACAGGTAGTCCTCATTTAGTGACTGCCTCGTTTAACAACTGTTTGCAGTCACAAGTGATGAAAAAGTAACTTTATGACCAATCCTTGCATTGACAACCTTCACAGGTCTATAAAGTGAAGGAAAGCTGAAGTAAGATCATAAGCACAGTTACAGTTTCACTTAGCAACTGCTTTGCTTAACAGCCAAGTTGCTGTTCCCAATTGTGGTAGCTAAACAAGAACGACCTGTATGGAGGCTAAGACGCTGAACTAGGAATGGTGACACCCAAGCTGTAATCCATCCTCAACCGTAGAAGCTCACTGGGTGACTTGTGGCCAGTGACATTCTCTTAGCCGGTCCTATCGCAAGGAGTTTTTGTGGTGGGAAGAAATAGGAACCCTATGCATACCTTCTTGAAAAGGTCGATATAATTCTAATAAATTCAAAGCAACAGCAGAAACCGGAAGGAAGGAAGGAAGGAAGGAAGGAAGGAAGGAAGGAAGGAAGAGGAAGGAAGGCAGGCAGGCAGGCAGGCAGGCAGGCAGGCCGACTTATCAAGAAATGGATACTGCAACAAATAGGATTTAATAACGTAATATAATATGTGCTCTAATTTAAGGTTAGCAAGGGCTTCAGTTGCTTTGACCTTAAGATTTGGTAGCACACCACAGGTACGCTGCAGTTTTTAATATATTAATTTCTTTAACCTGTTGTGCTGTCAACTGTCAGCATTTCTCAGTGATATGCCAAATCAAGTGAGAATGAAGTGTAGTTACCCCAAGCAAAAATGGAGAGAAATGCTGTCTTACATGAAGGACAGTATGTATCATAGATAATCCTTATAGGTCTTTGCTGGAACTAAGTTTTGACTTTTAGGAAAGTTGCGTCCCAGGGTTTCCTCCACAGCCTTACCAACTTGATATTGTACAGCCGTCTGATACATCTGTATGAAAAAGCACCATCAGACGTACCTCCGATTAAAGGTGCTTTATGGCTTGTTGATTTATCTACTTATTTAGAACATTTATAGGGCTGCCCCACTCAAGCAACATGACTCTGGGCCACGTACAAAAATTACTAAGCAAAATGCAAAAGGAAAACAGTGCCCTAAAACAAAATAAAACAACTCAAAGGCGATCAGAAAGTAAAAGACGTACTATCTTGAAAGCTCTTGATAAATAAGGAATATGAAAAGTGTGCTCTCCTAAAATGTGTGTCCCTGATTGCTAATCCCGTTTGTGCCACAGTAACTAGGCTGACTGTTGATGCTGTCCGTATTGTTTAAATGGGAGAAAAGTTAAGGAAAGGGAGTGGGGGATTCCTTTGGCTTTGTCCCCCTCCTCCCAGCATTGGGAGGAAAAATAACTTTATTTAATGGGGAGCGAGGCAGGGTTGGGTGACGGTGGGCTCATGGTTGGTTAGTTTGCCCAACTAGCATGTTGAAAGCCTGGAATAGACCCAGTGGTGACCAAACTCACAAGCCACAGCTAGCAGCTGGCCTCTTTCCAGATTTAAATCAACTTTCTATGGAGCGCAGGACTAGCGCACTCCCAGGAGAGCGCTACACTTACGCTTATAAGGGGTCCATGTTAGACCTGACAAACACTTTGAAAAGCATTGGTTAGAAATCCATTCTTTTCCTAATTACAAACAAATTGCTACTTGGATTGAAATACTGTAAGGTAATTCTTATTTATGTTCGGCAAATAGGTAAGTGGCTATTTAGAAGCTAAACGCCAATGCGACTTTCATCATTCGTTACAGTCGGCTTCCGAGACCCTGCTTTGTGTTTCCTGTCATTTGAAAAATGGAGGTTACTTAGGAATAAGTAATTTTTGCAGTATCGCCCTCAGTTCTATGGGGGTTATGTACCCTTTTTCACGTTTTGCAGATATACATTTTTCGCTTCGTTTTGCTGATCTGTCTCCTTCTCTGCTTTGACTTGAAGTTATCCTAAGGTGTTGTAGAATGATATGACAGGCGATAACTTGTTTGGTTAAAACAGGTTCCTTCCAGTTGTTTTATAAATAGGGCTTTTCTTAAAAAAAAAGGCAGGTACATTTAATTAAAACTTCAGTGGCTATAAGAAATGGTTGTCGACAAAATATTGATGGAAAAGCAAAGATTTGCAACAGCGACTAGCATCAGTTCCCAGTTTCCCATCAGAAGGTGCTTCTAGCTGGAAGATGCTTCTAAAGTGAGATTATTTACATGAAAAGCATGTGCTTTACTGTCAAGCTCCAACTTTTCATCCAGCAGATTATAAATTCTATGGTTAGGGCTCTGCAGTGCTTTGGATCGGAAAACCAGAAAGGAATTCAGTAAACGGGGGGCACAAACAGAGCGTCTCTCTGCAATTCCTAAAGGCAGCAGCAGCATCTTTTCTTGAGATTGCACACTTGCCCTCTGAGATGTTTATTTCATTTCATTTCATTTCATTTTTTGATTGTGGAATATGACTTAGTCTTCTGCAAGTTTCTTCCTCTGAAATTTTGCAGCGTACATGAGAACGCGATTACATATGTAAGGGTTGCGTAATTAGGCTGGTGTCCACCAGGCTTCATCAAATTCTTCATAAACCCTCTTTAGTGTGACACACTTTTTTCTAACATGGAAGATAAACTTGCTGGAAAGAACATACATTTTAGCTTTTAGTAGTACGGACAGATTTATTGCAATTCACAATTTCATTTTGTGATTTATGCCATGCTGATGGTTCCTAATATTTGGGCCTTGCTTACAGCTTAATGGCAATTTTCAGGCTTTTAAAATGATGTAATATATTCAATTATTTACAATCAATCAATGACATACTGGAAAATTGAAATCTCTGTGACGTTGCTAAATCTCTTGTTTATTCATTTGTATCCTATTCTTCTATCCCTCTCTTTTGTTCTTTTCCTTCCTCTGTTTCTCTGTTTTTTTCTAAAACATCTAATAAAATATATTTTTAAAAAATGAAGGGGAAAAAAGGGGGAGAACCATACTTTTATAAACCATAACTTACAATGGAATATAATTTTTGCACGTGGTGGAGAATATATTAATATACAGTGGGGCAAAAAAGTATTTAGTCAGCCACCAATTGTGCAAGTTCTCCCACTTAAAAAGATGAGAGAGGCCTGTAATTTTCATCATAGGTATACCTCAACTATGAGAGACAAAATGGCGGGGAAAATCCAGAAAATCACATTGTCTGATTTTTAAAGAATTTATTTGCAAATCATGGTGGAAAATAAGTATTTTAACTATGAGAGACAAAATGGCGGGGAAAATCCAGAAAATCACATTGTCTGATTTTTAAAGAATTTATTTGCAAATCATGGTGGAAAATAAGTATTTTAACTATGAGAGACAAAATGGCGGGGAAAATCCAGAAAATCACATTGTCTGATTTTTAAAGAATTTATTTGCAAATCATGGTGGAAAATAAGTATTTTAACTATGAGAGACAAAATGGCGGGGAAAATCCAGAAAATCACATTGTCTGATTTTTAAAGAATTTATTTGCAAATCATGGTGGAAAATAAGTATTTTAACTATGAGAGACAAAATGGCGGGGAAAATCCAGAAAATCACATTGTCTGATTTTTAAAGAATTTATTTGCAAATCATGGTGGAAAATAAGTATTTTAACTATGAGAGACAAAATGGCGGGGAAAATCCAGAAAATCACATTGTCTGATTTTTAAAGAATTTATTTGCAAATCATGGTGGAAAATAAGTATTTTAACTATGAGAGACAAAATGGCGGGGAAAATCCAGAAAATCACATTGTCTGATTTTTAAAGAATTTATTTGCAAATCATGGTGGAAAATAAGTATTTTAACTATGAGAGACAAAATGGCGGGGAAAATCCAGAAAATCACATTGTCTGATTTTTAAAGAATTTATTTGCAAATCATGGTGGAAAATAAGTATTACAGGCCTCTCTCATCTTTTTAAGTGGGAGAACTTGCACAATTGGTGGCTGACTAAATACTTTTTTGCCCCACTGTATTTCAAAATATGTTCATTTGTTGACTAATAAATTCATTCGATAGAGCCTAATGCTTCTCTTGGGAAAACAATACATAAAGTGGCTTCAGGTGTCAACTAAATACAGCAGCAAGGTTAAGTATATTGCGATAGGATTTGACTCTGAATGTTGTTTCTCTCTTGCTAATAGGTTTGCAAGACTTGCTGCAACAGCTTTCATTACTCAAGGAGTTCCTGTCCACCTTTTCTCCAGCATCACACCGACTCCCTTTGTGGTAGGGTTCTTGTTGTTATCGCTTACACACACTTCCAGTGGAAGGCAGATAGAATTTCTTTAGTAGCATCACAAAAGTTATATGATTACTTCCTATCCAATGTTAAAAGCATTGACGTCTGGTGAATTTAAGCCGTTGTCAAGACTGAGGGGTTCTTACGTTCCTTGTCTCTGCTTGTTAAAGCTGTTGCTTTGTACGGTACTCCAAAGCATTTGAAGGTAGCATTTGAAGGACCACAGCCTTGCCTTCTAACTTTGGGAAGGCTGTAGGATAGGCATCCAGTGATAGGAAGATGTCAGTGGAAGGAGTGGAGGTGAAATATTTCAGCTGTTTTGTGGGGGTGAGGCATACCACTCTTAATGTCACCATTAAGGTCCATCCAATCTCTCCAAAATTGCTGTTTTGGGGACTTTTGTTGTTGTTCAGTCGTTAAGTTGTGTCTGACTCTTCGTGACCCCATGAACCATATCGTGCCAGGCCTTCCTGTCCTT